AGCTCCAATGAAAACGTTGACGGTGCCACGATTAGAGCTAAACGCTGCCTTGTTGCTTATTCGATGGTTGAATCGCGTAAAAGTTGCTCTCGGTGATCGCGTTACCATTGTAGACACCTTCGCGTGGACGGACTCGTTAGTGGTCCTGTCGTGGCTGACTGTCCCACACGAAACGTTTAAACAATACGTATCGAACCGCGTACATCAGATTCAGTCCGTTTTACCAGATTGTCATTGGCGATATGTGTCAACGCTCGAAAACCCCGCCGACTGTGCGTCACGTGGAATGATGCCGTCAGAATTACCAAAATTTATGTTGTATTGGCTCGGCCCAGAATTTATTAGGGACCATCCGAAAGAATGGGGGAGGGATAAGGATCGTCTACCGTGTTCCGAATTGCCCGAAGTCCGGCCCATCAACCTCTTAGTACAATCTAAAGACCACCCTTCGGAGTGGTTCGCGCGTTTTTCTTCGTACGATCATATGATTCGCGTAGTTGCCAGGATGCGCCGTATGCTGCCAAAAGGCCGTCGCCGACCTACCGAGGTGACACCGGTCCTCACGCGTATCGAGCTCGACGATGCGTTACGCGTTATTGTTCTCCATTCACAGCAGTCTTTTTTCGCCGAACTCCGCGACGAGTTGCGTAAGAACGTCTGTGCATCTTCGAAGCCTCTCGCTCGGCTATGCCCGTTTATCGATGACCACGGAGTCATTCGCGTAGGTGGTCGACTAAGGCATTCCGACCTACCGTTCGAAACGAAACACCCAATATTGCTGTCAAAGTCGTCTTTTTTATCGACGTTAATTTGCCGGCGTTGGCATAAAATAACGTGCCATTCTGGCCCGCGCGTTATGTCCGCGATGATCCGTCGACACTTCTGGATTGTGTCTCTCCGCTCGGTTATCCACACTATCTTGACACAATGTACGGTGTGTGTTCGTTTTGACGGTCGTAACCCACAACCATTGATGGCTGATTTGCCCGGATCGCGCGTACAACAATGTAGAGCTTTTACCCGGGTGGGCGTGGATTACGCGGGTCCGTTGTCAATGCGCGAACTACGGTTGCKCAAATCGCGTACGTACAAAGTTTATATCGCAATATTTGTGTGTTTTGCCGTTAAAGCTGTTCACTTAGAACTTGTGACAGATCTATCCACTGAAGCCTTTATGGCAGCCTTTGATCGTTTTGTGGCCAGACGCGGTATGCCCAGCGAAATATTTTCTGATTGTGGTACAAATTTCGTGGGCGCCGCGCGACAACTACGTCAGTTRATTAACAGTCCCGCGTCGCAATTAACCATAACGTCAGTAGCTATGTCATGCACATGGCATTTTAATCCCCCCGCGGCCCCTCATTTTGGTGGGCTTTGGGAAGCAGCAGTACGCTCAGCCAAAAGATTACTAACCCGCGTTGTAGGCTCACACGTTTTGACGTACGAAGAATTCAGTACAGTGTTGTGTCGGGTTGAAGCAGTTTTAAATTCGCGACCCCTTACTCCGTCTTCATCAGATCCGCTCGATCTCGAATGCTTGACACCGGGGCATTTCCTCGTCGGTCAACCGCTGCTCGCTGTGCCTCCTCGATCACCCATATCCCCAGATCGCCCTATAGTTAATAGGTGGAAATTACTAGATMATTGTCACCAGAATTTCTGGCACCGGTGGTCGACAGAGTACCTTCATACTCTCCAAGAACGGGTTAAATGGACTGATAGCCGTCCCAACGTCAAAGTAGACGATATGGTAGTTCTCCGGGACCCCTTAGCRCCGCCTTTAGATTGGCGACTTGGTMGCGTGACTGGTGTCGAACCGGGGGCCGATGGAGTGGTCAGGGTTGTGCACGTATTGACGTCCCGTGGCATGCTTACTCGTCCAGTAGTCAAAGTGATAGTACTGCCTACCGACGGCCAGTAGCACTTAACAATAATTTCCTTGTAACATTTACCATTATACTCGCACAATTGCTTATGGTCATAGTTTGTGGTCTCGTTCTGAGTTCCTCGACTTCACCGACCACCGCGCCGAGTTACCTATTCTTGTTTTGACATATTATTATTATTATAATTGCTATACTACTCGCGGGGTGTTCGGACGCAAAGTTTATAATTATTATATAATATACTATATTTTGTATTTTGTATTTTCTTTTCTATTATTATATATATATATGTATACACGTTTGTACGTTAACATTTTGTTTTATATTTTATATCATATGTATTTTTCCCTTTTTATATGTTATTATGGACCATATGTTCACCTACGTTATGAATTTTTTTTTGTTTAACGATATCCGCCGTCACTCAGAACGTAGCCTACAGTTAGATGTGCACCACGGTTCCTCCGCCTTCGAATACTTCATATTTTACGATATATGTGAGGCGACGCCTCCCATAGGGGGAGGATGTTTGAACTTGAGCCGCGCTCGTGGCTAACAGTGTGACCGTCTGGACACTTGTCGTGTCACCCCGTTGGCTGACCGATGTCGAAGTGCGCTTGCGCGGAGCTTTTGGCGACCGGCATCGCTGACCACCGGTTCTCCAGCGGCTCGCTCTCTATTCACCACCGTCGTCCGGTATAGTTGCCGTGACCGGGTGTCGTGCGCCCCTTTTTTTTGTGTACTACCTTTTCGTCGTGTGTCGACCGACAAATCCTGTAGTTCTATATATTGTATACGTTAGTCTATCGCAGTGTGTGCCGTATGGATGTCGACGGCCTTATAATTCATAATAAATTATAGTTGCGTCGCGCGTCGATCATTTTTATTATTTTGTATGCGGGTTTGATTCCCAACATCACCCGTCGCACGTAATTACACGTGCCCACAATTTCGTGTGCGTCTATAATAAGTCGCGGGATTATCGTGTGTCTGGTGTATGAGGCACAATATAACGCAGCCGCCGTCAAGAGGTCAACGAGCTCACCATCGCCGAGCCATCTACAACATAATTTGGCTACCTCACGGGACGAACTAACTTCGCACACCATTCGTATCAATCGTCGTGGGATTCCGCCATCATTGCGACTAGCGGTATCGTTACTATTATTATTATTGTATTTTTTGTCATATATATTYTTATTTAGTCTTGCATATTGCGCATTTGTTGTGCCCTTAATTATATTATTTTATTGGTATTATTAGTTATTATTATTATAAAAACGGTCCGAAGAGACGTCTTCGGAGTTGTAACGTATTAACGTATAACATTGTTTGTACTTTAGGTGTAAGACACGTCTGATTATTATATATTCTGTATACCATATTTATTATTTCTTTCTAGTATTAATATTGTCATTCATCCCCAAACACTCCGCGAGTCGTCCAGCAAACTGCTCAAGCAAGTGCTGGCGGCGTAAACAATTACTATTAACTATACATTTATACAGATTAAATTATTTTCAACATTGTAATATAAATATAATATAGGTACCTATATAAAAAGAACAATAACAATTTACATAAATCAATATTTTATTTAAATATTCATACTATTTGTAACAGGAGTTAATCGAAGTGTGGAATAAAAAAATTCTAAGGTTAGGTCCAAATTTACCCAAATACCTGAGCGATAAAACAATGAAAAGAAAGCCACCTACACYGCGGATTGCTCTAACAAAGGTTTCATAATTATATTTCATTACATATTATGTAGATATAGTGTCATCCTATGTGTCGCAATAGATAATATTTTTTTCTTAAACAATATTTTTTAAATCTGATTTCTTCTATTAATTATTACGCTTCTAATAAACCATATATTTTTAAAGTGCTTTAACAATCATCGAAGAATATAAAAATATGGTTCTATCAGAGCATAATAATATTCAAACATCATATTTCAATAGTATTGTTTACAAAAAAATGTATTGCAATTTGCAAGTAATAATTGGTTTGGTTAAATTCAGGAAACGCTTAATGTAAAGTGAAAATTTGATGCCAGAGTTATTTGATAGTTCACCGCATCCAGGTTTGATGAATGAGTATGTTCCAAAATGTATCACAGAAGAAACATATGATGTTCACTTGGATGCAAATAATGTTAAACTTCCAGGAAGTATGTGGGGTTTGCATACAAATGGAAAAGAAACTTTATTTACCTATATCACTGGCCTAAAAAATGATAAATGTGTTAGGTTTTCATCATCTATACCACAGGTTTTTATAATAATAATAGTTAATAGGCAACTATTTTATACATAAATATATTAACTATAAATTAATAAATTAATCTTATATTATAAATTACAAATAAAACTATATGAATACAATAGTAGGTAATAAATATTTACAATATTAAGGTTTTCATAAGAGAAAAAGCATTGCCTATTGGAAAATTAACAACATGTMGAAACGACGTGGAAAAATTATTGAAAAATGTTGATAATATTAAAATTTGTCCTGGATATGGTGGAATCTGGTCTAAAAGTTGTGAAATAACTTTGGAAGGAAAAAGTATAAAATGTAAATGCTGTCGTCAACTTCAGTATAATGATAAAAAAAAACAAAGAAATAGTGTATGCTTCAAAATAATGAATCCTATGTATAAAAGAAGCCAACAAACAAGTCGTCTTTTTAATAAGGCATTAAAMTAATCACAATATATTATTTAAAAGCATTTTTGTACCCTTCATATATATTTTAAATTATGTACATACAGATGAAAACTTTGAAAACTGATATAAATAATTTAATTAACAAATGTAAAACTTTGGAAATTGAAAAAATTGAAGAAATTTTGAAAGATCTTTCACCTAAACAAAAAGAAGCTGTTAGAACAATTTTTAAAGCTTCATCTGTTAAATCCCAAAAAGGAATGAGATATTCTAATGACTGGGTATATGAATGTATACTCATGAAGATTAAAGGACCAGCTTTATATAGAAAGATTAGACGGGACAACATTTTACCATTACCATCCTTGCATAGGCGTTAATTTGGCTTGCTAGAAGGGGGGGGCTAACGCTAAGATTATAATTTATAACATTAGAAATTTATAACAAGGCTATACTATTTTTTAGGGGGGCTAAGCCCCCCAATTTACGCCTATGCATTCTTGTMAACTTTACAAAGGTATATTCAGCAATTACAGCCTTCTTATGGATTTCAAGAGAGTGTTTTTAAAATGATAAAAGAAAAAGCTAAATATATCCCTAATTTTGAGAAACACGGTATATATATATTCTAAAATTATTAAATGTATTGTTTAAATAGTTATTTAATTAAAATGATTACTTTGGTTAGGATGTTTGTTATTGGATGAAATGGCTTTAACACCAGCAGC